GTAGCCATGCGTGTTGAGAATGGCGGACGCACGTTGCCACATGTACGTCTTTGTCGGTCCAAGGTCTTGTTCTTGCATCAAATCATGGATGGTGTTGATCATAAAGTTTTCCTCAGCTTCCGTCCAACGCCGAGATCCATCGCGAGTCGCCTGAGAGCTTTTGCTGGGTTGAGATGCTGGTGCTTGTCGAATTCGAGCGGCAGCTCTTCGTAGTGGAGTAGTAGGTTGCGTTTCCGCAGGGGCAATCTGCGTGGGCCTGTCCGCGGTGGGAGACTCTTCATAGGTGATATCCTGATCATGATCATCGTCATCAGTGGAATAAGATGAACCACCGTCATCGTCTGTATCGTCAAGACTTGAATTCTCATGTTCCTCTCCGGAAGGCTCCTCCAAGCGAGGAGGCTGATACAACTCGTGCTTATCACCATTAGGGTGAAGGTCGCCGGCGGCAGGCGGTAACACTGTCTGAGGAGGGGATCCAATTGCGGCGTTTGCCACGTCCTGGGGGATCAAACTGGAGGTCAGTTGCGCGGATGTTAAATTCTCGACGAAATCTTCTTCCGCGGCTTCCTCCGCTTGCCGTGGAGCAGCCCAGATGGATTCTTCGACGGTCGGTTCAGGAGCTGTTAGGGTGGGTTGTGTTTGATGGTTGCTTCGATTTCCGGGAGCGTCTCCCATGCAAGCCTTCTTCAAATGGCGGATGGACTTGGCGTGGTCGCGGGCGACCATCTTCGTAAATCTGATCAAGAGGTGAAGCTTTTCTCTGAAATCCTTATCGTGCCGCTCAATACAGCGCAGCATACGCATCTCCGGAGGGCTGTCACTGAGATCCGGTCCGCTGTCGTCTGCCGTGTCGGAAGTGCCGCTAGATAATAAGCCAGGGCTAGGATAGAGCCCGGTGCCAGGAGATACCGGTGTGGGCATATTCTCTGCCATGGTTAAAGGTGGTCTAGTGACGCGTTGGGCAAAGATGAGGGCTTAAGGTGGTGTATTATGGGAAGGCAGAGCATGGGGTTAGACAGCGTGGGCAGTGGGCAGCGAGCAGTGGCCACTGGGCCAATTCGATGTGAAACGAAGCGCGAGTTAAGTGCGAGCGCTAATCGAGCTCAGCCTTGCGGCTGGCAAGCGACTCCGATTGGCTGCTCCCTACGCGGGTTAGCCTTGTCTGAGGTTCTTTGTGGTAACACCAAGTCTAGGCCACAGAGTCGTTGCAACTCAACACCCAACACTGCGCGCTCTTCTCCCTGATGGCCTGATATTGTTTCACGACGGCTGAAGAGCGACACACTCCAGGCACATCGCACTCCTCCTAGCCCCCCACTAGATTCCCTACCGCTTCATCCTCCAACAACGTCTCTCCCCCGCGCCGCTGCTTCTGTTCAGATATCCTCAGCGGCCAGCTAAGCACTTCCTCCGCAACCAGACCTAGAGGCTATACATCAGGACACGCCTGCAACCCGGGAAGAACTACGCGAGAAATCAGACCTGGTGCTCCAGGCACAATACTTCTATTTCTCAAGGAGGTTTCACATCACGCCGCCGGTGACTGCCCAAGCGTATTTAAGCGGGCTACAATCCCACCCACATGCACATCCTCGCCTGCAACTATTCCAACCTCAGGCCCGGCCTAAAAGTTCCACTTCAGGACCGCAATCAAGATCATCTTCATCAGCACCGTCTTCGTGGCCTTGAGAACCCTCCCAAACGACCGGTTCGACATCCACCGCCGCAAACACTACCGCGCCAGCTCCTTCGGAATCAGCTCAAGACCCAACCTACCCGACCTCCTTCGCGGCAATTGTGGACCTTGTAAGGCGGAATCCCACCTGAGCTTGGGATAGAAGATACCCCACCCGTCCTCGAGCCAGGATCGAGCACCGTCGAGAAGGCAGAAAGACGTCGACGTGACGCAGTCGGAACAACAACGGTTGCAGGCGGAAGGAACAGCTTTGGAGAGGGGTGACATGAGAGTAAAACTGGATCCAGGTCAGAAACAGCTGCTTCGGCCGACACAGAAGCCGTTGGTGAAGGTTGGTAAAGATTCTTGAACCTAACGTTGTCCCCGCCGGCGGATGGTTCACTAGCAACGCACACTCTCTGTGCCCGGTCGAGAGGACTATGGGCGCGGGTCTCAAAGTTCGCCCAGAGTGCGAGAGTCCAGCCGTAAGGACCATATGAACGACTATATACGCGCCTGAAGTCCACCGAAGCGCGAGAAGTACAGCTCTCGGAACGTTCTGCAAGATCCCTGATATCTCGGTCCCCGCGGGGGGGGGGGGGGGGGTTGCCCTTGGCTCCGTCGG